AATGATCTTGGTATTGCTAATATCTATCTATCTATCTATCTATCTATCTATCTATCTATCTCCGATAATATCTATCTATCTATCTATCTATCTATCTATCTATCTATCTATCTATCTATCTATCTCCGATTCCCATTATCCATCTATCTATCTATCTATCTATCTATCTCGGTACACATATCTATCTATCTCATCATCTATCCATCTATCTATCTATCTATCTATCTCGGCACATTATCTATAATATCTATCTATCTATCTATCGGTACATATCTATCCATCTATCTATCCATCTATCTATCTATTCATCTATCTATCATCTATCTATCTATCTATCATAGACTAATATCTATCTATCTATCTATCTATCTTAGTTTGCTAATATTCATCTATCTATCTATCTATCTATCTATCTATCTATCTATCTATCTTATTTATAATATCTATCTATCTATCTATATCTATCTATCTATCTATCTATCTATCTATCATTAGTTTGCTAATATCTATCTATCTATCTATCTATCTATCTATCCATCTATCATAGTTTGCTAATATCTATCTATCTATCTATCTATCTATCTATCTATCTATCTTAGTTTGCTAATATCTATCTATCTATCTATCTATCTATCTATCTATCTATCTATAGTTTCTATCTATCTATCTATCTATCCATCTATCCATCTATCTATCTATCCTATCTATCTTAGTTTAGTTAACATCCATCTATCTATCTATCTATCTATCATCTATCTATCCATCTATCTTAGTTTGCTAACATCATCTATCTATCTATCTATCTATCATAGTTTCAATATCCATCCATCTATCTATCTATCTATCATCTATCCATCTATCTATCTTAATTTCTAATATCTATCTATCTATCCATCTATCTATCTATCTATCTATCTATCTATCTATCTTAGTATCTAATATCTATCTATCTATCTATCCATCTATCTATCCAGTTCTATCTATCTTAGTTTATCTATCTATCTATCTATCTATCTATCTATCTATCTATCTATTATCTATCTATCTTAGTATTATCTAATATCTATCTATCTATCATCATATCTATCTATCATAGTTTGAATCTATCTATCTATCTATCTATCTATCTATCTATCTATCTATCTATCTATCTTAGTTTTAATATTCATCTATCTATCTATCTATCTATCTATCTATCTATCTATCTATCTATCTATCTATCTATCTATATGTTCAGACAGTAGATGGCCCAAAATCTATCTAACGCAGGATTACTGAATGAGGTTAATTTATACAGAATTACAATCTCTCTATCTATCTATATCTATCTATCTATCTATCTATCTATCTATCTATCTATCTATCATCCGATTCCCCATTATCTATCTATCTATTCATCTATCTATCTATCTATCTATCTATCTATTTATCTATCTATCCATCTATCTATCTATCTCCGTTTCCCAATATCTATCTATTCATCTATCTATCTATCTATCTATCTATCTATCTATCTATCTTGTCGGTCTGAATCTATCTATCTATCTATCTATCTATCTATCTATCTTAGTTTGCTAATATCTATCTATCTATCTTTCTATCTATCTATCTATCTATCTTAGTTTGCTAATATCTATCTATCTATCTATCTATCTTAGTTTGCTACTATCTATCTATCTATCTATCTATCTATCTATCTATCTATCTATCTATCTATCTATCTTAGTTTCTATCTATCTATCTATTCATCTATCTATCTATCTATATGTTCAGACAGTAGATGGCCCAAAAGCAACTTAACGCAGGGGATTACTGAATGAGGTTAATTTATACAGAATTACTATCTATCTATCTATCTATCTATCTATCTATCTATCTATCTATCTATCTATCTCCGATTCCCATTATCTATCTATCTATCTATCTATCTATCTATCTATCTATCTATCTATCTATCTATCGATTCCCATTATCTATCTATCTATCTATCTATCTATCTATCTATCTATCTATCTATCTATCTATCTATCTCCGATTCCCATTATCTATCTATCTATCTATCTATCTATCTATCTATCTATCTATCTTAGTTTGCTAATATCTATCTATCTATCTATCTATCTATCTATCTATCTATCTATCTGTTCAGCCAGTAGATGGCCCAAGAGCAACTTAACGCAGGGGATTACTGAATGAGGTTAATTTATACAGAATTACTATCTATCTATCTATCTATCTATCTATCTATCTATCTATCTATCTATCTATCTCCGAATCCCATTATCTATCTATCTATCTATCTATCTATCTATGTCGGTCTGAATCTATCTATCTATCTATCTATCTATCTATCTATCTATCTATCTATCTATCTTAGGTTGCTAATATCTATCTAGCTAGCTAGCTATCTTGTTTGCTCGATAAATGTTCATCCAATAGAAGGTCCAAGAGCAACTCAACTTAGAGGATTACTGAATGAGGTTAATTTATACAGAATATCTATCTATCTATCTATCATCTATCTATCTATCTATCTATCTATCTATCTATCTATCTATCTATCTACCCCATTATCTATCTATCAACGTAGAGGATTACCGAATGAGGTTGTTGTGTAGATGCAAGAGGCGGAAGCCAATGTAGATTATGAGGATATGAAGGATAGACATCCGTTGACTCGAGACTTGATGAGGTTAAGATTATAGGAAATAGGAAGCAGAAATATGTTCCAGAGAGCTGCGACCCCCGAGAAGAAGCTGTCTGGAAGAAGCTGTTTAGTGGAATACGAAGGGACCGGGCGAACTAGTGGAACTAGGAAATGTAGCCCGTTCTGTGGTCAAAATCTATCGTTTTATTCTAGATGTCGGGCGTAGAACGGAGAGAAAGAATTTGCAAATAATCGAGTGTAGCTGGCTTGGCCTCCCATCCTTTAACCCTGTGATGTTACGGAATATGAGTATCCTTTGATCACGCTATCCATGATCATTTTTGGTCAAGTCAAATTAAGTTCCGGCAACCTTTTGGAAAAAACGGGCTGGAAAGCTATGCAGGGCCACGACATCAAATGTACTATAATATTTTTTTAAAATCCAGGACCGCTCCGTCTGTCTTGGTCTGGAAGTTTAAAGAAAAAAAAACAAAAACAACGAAGGTAATGTTCTATTATTTAAACAAGATTCCTTATTTTTTGCTTATACTCCGATAGCTTCTTCACATCACGATGTCATCACTATTCCTTGTTCTTAAACAACTCTCATTATATTTCACTTTCGAAAAACGTTGTTCACAAGCATATGTACTTCCAAATAATGATACCATTCAATAGGATTTTATATTTTGCGCTTAGAAAAACCTATTTCTTGTAGAAGTGGATTCGGAATTAAAATTTGATTTTAAAAATTCGTCGCATTGTAATTAATTCCAACTGATATTTTTCTACTACTTGCCTCAAAAATTAATGAAATAATTAGTGTCCAGGTATTAAATTGATCGGCCGAATAAAACTCCTTCGCGGGCTGGATGTGGCCCGAAGGTTGCCGGCCACTGTTTTATGTTAAACCAAGCTTAGTAAATAGATAAACGTTTCCTCTTCCTTAAACAGAGTGTTGACACCATCACCGGGCTGGAGTTAGACAATTATCACTTTCCACAAACCCAACGTCGCAATATTATCGCTATTTCCATGGCAAATGTTCAGACGAGACCCATTTGTTAGTGCCATCTGTTCAGACATTTACAGCGAGGACATGCCATACTAGCTACGCAGAGTTGAAACATTTCCTCCGTATTCCGAATATAAGGAGAGTTCCTCTCTGACAGCATTTTCCCAAGAACTTTCTCTTTGTGGAACAGAATCCCGGGTGGATGTTCTCCTGAACATCACAAACTTAACCTCTTGTTATATATCCTTCTTTTTCGCATGATCTTTTTTCCTTCCATCTCCATTTTCATTCATATTACACCTCGTTCATCATAATATTTTAACAGTAATCCTCTACTTTGATTGGCTTGCATTATTAGTCGTAATAGTCACTGTTTACAAACTAACACTTTCTTCCCAGAGTGCTCAACCGGAATAAATTTTTCAGGAGCATATATATTATATGATAGTTCGCCTGTCGATGTGGACGGATGAGAATCAGACAATCTCATTCATTTTTTATGTTTTTGTCGTATGTAATACTTCCGTCCCGCTAGTGATCTGCCTACAAGTCCACATATAGTGTAACACCGAGAGTATTGGGACGGAATTTGAAAGCGAATTACCGAATCCTTTTTTCGTACTGCTAACCGTTATGCCCCTCGCCGTCTCCACAATATTTTACGAGATTGAAAAAGAAAGAAGGCGGAAAATTATGGAAGCTTAGAAGTAAGAAATCAATGCAAAGACCGACTTGTTGCAAAGTCATATGAAACAATGTTTAATAGGCTAGCTCCGAAAATCATTATAATATATCCGATTCTCGCTGGATGCCCCGCAATAGTGCTTGCGGTTGTGTCAGGTTTCCAACAACCTGCATGGCTTTTTTAAAAATATTTTTAGTTAGGAGATTCCCCGCCCCTAATTTTTAACTTATTGGTTTCTATTTTACACGTATAATAATATTGCAGGCGACATATGAACAGAACAAATTTCGAAAAGAAGGATAACCTGCTATCATAGAAAGCGAAGCGTTTTTCTTTCAACAGGAAAGAAAATTAAATCCGAAAAACCATGTGCAAAATGTTTAGTGGAAACAGGCAAACATGGCGAAAAACAGAATAAAAATCAATTGCTGTGTGTTTAACCCTTTCGATACGGCTTTTTTTTTATTATCTAAATTCAGTCGAATTACATTGGAAATTTCATATTGGATTACATATGCGGATAATTTAGATGTGAAATAATCCCTTTAAACCTAAATTAAAATTGCTGAATTTTCTCATTTTTTAAGGGGATTTAATTTATCTTGTCTTTCAAGTTTATTGAAAAGGGATTAATTGACAAAAACAGTAGTTGATTAAAAGTTGACGAAGGGACCAATCGAAAGAGAGAGAGAGAGGGAGAGAGAGAGAGAGAGAGAGAGAGAGAGAATGAAATCTAAGAGAAATAGAAGAAGTAAGAAAAGTTGAGGCCGCAAATAAGAGATTGTGAGTAAAAAGAATAAAGGAAGAAAAGAGGGAAAGGAAAGGTTGGGGAGGAGGGATGGTGACAGATAGGAGAAGTAGTGAGAGGAAGAGGAGGAGCGATAAAGAAAATAGAACATACCAAGTATATGAGCGTATAGAATAATAATAATAATAATAGTAATAATAATAATAAGAAGAAGATTATGATGATGATGATGACGATGATGATTGTGAAGGTGGTGGTGGGCGTCGTCGTCATCATCAATATACTGGAAGGTATAAGAGCAAATATATATTAAAAAGGCGAAGACAAACAAGAAAGAGATACAAAGAAAGAAAGAAAGAAAGAAAGAAAGAAAGAAATATATGAAGATAGTGAATAGTGTGAGAGCAGATAGAGGGTGAAAGAAGAAGAAGAAGAAGAAGAAGAAGAAGATCAAAATATATGAAACAAGACCTATATTAAAAGAAAGAAAGAAAGAAGGAAAGAAAGAAAGAAAAGAAAATATATGAAGATAGTGAACAATTTGAGAGCAGATAGAGGTTGAAAAGAAGAAGAAGAAGAAGAAGAAGAAGAAGAAACAGAAGCTAATCGTAATATATGAAATCAAGACATATATTAAAAGGAAGAAAGAAAGAAGGAAGAAAGAAAGAAAGAAAGAAAGAAAGAAAGAAAGAAAGAAAGAAAGAAAGAAAGAAAGAACAAATGAGGAAGGGAAGTAGGAGCAGATAAATACTAGACGGTAGAAGAAAAAGAAAGATTTACAGAGAAAGAAAGAGAGAAAACAGAGGAAGACGGTGGACAGTGTGGGAGGAACTAGAAGGCAAAACGGAGAAGAGAAAGAAGTGAGAATAATGGAATATATTAAAGCAGGATAGATAATAAAAGAGAAAAGAAAAAGAAAGAAAGAAAGAAAGAAAGAAAAGAAAGAAAGAAAGAAAGAAAAAAGAAGTTAGCATCTACGACGGTAGAGACAGAGTGTGAAGAGGAGCGTTGAAAAGGTAGTGTGATGTTATTTTTTGAACGTTGATATATTCTGGCAAATACAATAGAAAAAAGATAATGGGAAAAATGTGTGTAGTTTTAGCCAACGCGTTTCGTCCAATGTGGACTTTTTCAAGGCAAAAGACGAAATGAATTTATTGCAACACACTATCTGACGCGTTTCGTCCAATTTGGACTTTTTCAAGCCAAAAGACGAAATGAATTTATTGCGACACAGTATCTATAAACATTATAAGCACAAGGGAGACCTCATAAATGACAATTTGACAAATGCACTGGTCATACATAGAAATGAATTGGGCACCTCGGCGTGGTGTAATGGTTAGCAAACATGTCTCGCTAGATCAGTTACGACTGAAAAGTGAGTTCGATCCTCACCAGGTACCCCATACTTTCGGCCTTGTGCCACATCTAAGCTACGCTTAGAAAATAACTGGGGCACCTCGGCGTGGCGTAATGGTTGGTCAAGCTTGTCTCGCTAGAACAATTACAGCTGAGTAGTGAGTTTGATCCTCATTGGGTGCCCCGTACATTCGGCCTTGTGCCACATCTAAGCTACGCTTAGAAAATCGATACATCGAAATGAATTCAAGCACAGTTTTGATTTTAAAATGCTACACTCATGAAAAAAGAAAATTATTTATTCAGAAGTAATTCCTCGAGAGTGCCTTTATTGGATATTATCCAAATATTAATATAGGCCACAGTTATTTCCTAATATTACCTTTCCTAACAGAATCACTACTCTCCCAAGCCAATATACACAACAAATATATCAAGAAATCAAAAGAAAAGCCCCCTCTGCCCCGCTAGGAAATTTTTTCTCGTCGGAGTCAATCCTTAATACTACAAATCAACCATTCGCCCTTGCATCGTGTATAGCTGTTTGTCTCAAGGTTCTTGATAAAATCCAGAGACAGATATGCAATGTAATTGGCCCTGATCTGGCATCTCGTCTGCAGTCGCCCTCTCACAGACATGCTGTCGTCTACCTCTGTCATTTTTTACAAATATTTTCATGGTAACTGCTACGATGAGCTGCTTTCGATGGTTCCCAGACTTCATGAATTTAAGCGTTCGACTAGGCTGGCGTCTCGCTCTCATCCTTTCACTGTCAAAACTGTTTAATGTAGCCGTCTCTTCTACTCCAATAGCTTCATGGCTCGCACTTCTCGCCTGTGGAACTCCCTCGCTTTTTCCTATTTCCCTGATAGCTATAATCTACAACTATTCAAATGTAAGGTCAATCGACGTCTCCAGATGCCTTGATCTATCCCCTATCCTTCTCTTCATCCTTTCCTCTATCACTCCTATTTGCTCTCGCTCCAACTCTCTGTAACCCCTTGCGTGCTAGTGGCTTCCTGCCTTGATTGGGGTGAAACTTAAAAAAACAAAAAAAAAAAAAAAAAAAAAAACACGGTTGAATTTTAATTCTATATGTGATGAAAAGATTCTCTTCAAATATAAAAAGTAAGTGACGTAATTATTCAGTTGACCCAATGAAGAGATAATAGCGTTTCAAATTTCTTCTAGTTGCTAACGACATTTTGTTCTTTGTTTATAGATACTTTGTTTCAATAAATTCATTTCGTTTTGTTTTTTTGTCTTGAAAATGTCCACATTGGACGAAACGCGTCGGCTAAAACTACACAATTTTCCTGTTGTTTTTCTCTTTATACATATTTTTCTCCAGATTAATTTTGAGAATTATATCTATCTATATATATATACATACACATATATATATATATATATATATATATATATATATATATATATATATATATATAAATGTTATAAAATCACTACAAAAATAGTTATTTTGTTTCAACACTTCTGTGATGCCGCTGAATTTAAAATCAACATTATTATACATGTTAAGGTTATACATTTAACGGCATCAATTGGTAAGACACCAGAAGTGTTGAAACAAAATGACTATTTTTGTAGTGATTTTATAAAATTTTTATGTTATAATTTTCGAATCAATAATTATATTTGGTATACTCTGTATTGAGCACTCTTTTAAGAATAGTATTTATTCGTTATTAAAATTTATTCCGTATACACCAATCCTATATTTTGATATATATATATATATATATATATATATATATATATATATATATATATATGTATTCAAACAGGTTTCGATAAATAATTTAGACATATCATGTCGATTAGTTTTAGTAGTGATCCTTTCAAGTCTGCAGATTAATTTATGGTAGATTTAGGAAATTGAGTAAGAAAAATACCAACATTTTCTTTCAAATAGTTTTTATTTCCCCAAGTACTTTTAATCTCATCTGATACCATCTTCAGGGGGTTAAGGTGTCTGTGAATATGTATATAAGTTTCTGTGAATTTAAAACATTTCAACTGTTCGTTTATTACCGCTTATGCAGCGTTCTAGATTTCAAAGTTCGAAGTTCACGTGTTCATTTGTTATTTTTTCCAGTGTACGGGGAGTAATTTTGTTTTTGTTCATACGTATATAATAATATAATAATAATAATAATAATAATAATATATATATATATATATATATATATATATATATATATATATATATATATATGTATGTATGTATGTGTGTGTGTGTGTGCGTGAGCCATTTTTTAGAATGTGTCAGCTCAACTTGATATGTAGAGTATTCAAGTATTCAATGTTTTTTCTATGTTTTCGAATAAATGCCGGAACAGAACGAGAGGGAAGAGCGGGAGATCAGCAAACACGTGATCCAGGAAGGTTTCAGGTTCATTTGATCCGCATCTGAACGGGCGTGGCTGATCCTAACAAGAGAACGTGTTCAAAAACCGTGTTTACAAACAGGCAAATTAGTGTTTAACTCTATCAAAATTAAGGAAATCAAAAACAGTGCTTTCGTTTTATTAATGAATAAAATGGTCGGGTGAACCAAATGCCCCTGTTTTTTTTTTTGATTTCTTCTTCTCTTTTCTCTTTGTTTTTAAATGCACCCACTTCTTTCCTTCTTGAATTCTTTCTTTTTGTTTTCTCTTGGTAATGAAAGGAAACAGAAGCGATGGTGATCGTTCGGCAAAATCAGCCGTCGCTTCAAAGTTGTTCACACCAGGGCGTGACTCTTTCGACACACACGGGATCTGATCTGGTTGGCTAAAAAAAAAAAAAAAAAAAGAAAAGAAAAATGGCTGTAACGTTTGCGCATGAAAGACGACTAAAAAGAACCTTTTTCTTCGTTTTTCCTCCCCAAATGTCACTGACAAGATATTAACGTCAGGGAAATAGCATAACAAATTAACGTCAAATTGTCCCATTTATAAATATTTTCCTTGTTTTCAATTCTGTTTTAAGACTTTAATGAAAAAAAAAAATATATAGATCGATTCTATACTTAAAAAAAAAAATAAATAAAATAAACAAACCAAAAACAACGAAAGTAAATAAAAAAAGAGACGAAATGGAAGTAAAAATCACAACAAAACAAATTTAACAACCAGAACATCTTTTGCTCATGTATGTCATCTAAGAGACAAAATTAAAGAATTCGTTTTTGCATAGCTTTCTGGGGACTTAGGCAGTTTACTAGTTTTTTGAAGAGGTACTTTCTCACGCTTCATTTGTGTGTCCGGAGATTTAATGAACCAAGAGCCACAAAACCAGTATTTCAATGTTCAGACGAGCCGTATTCCTTAGTTCCACCAGTTCTAAACTTTACGGCAAAGACCCGACATGCCACGCCCATTGTAGCGAAATCACCCTCATTCCCTTCGGATTCTATTGATGATATGCAAGTTCTACTCGAGCAACTTCTTTCCACGAACCGCGAACCGACACCCAAGAATCTGATCTTAAAATCTTAACCTGTAAAAAAATGTCCATTCAATATTTACAACCCTTCTCCTGCAATAAGAAGTAAGGCTTTTGGGTCTGAACATACTACATTCTTAACCTGTTTAAGTCTAGGGTTATTCGTTATCTTCCACACGTACCCGCATAAACTGAGCTTCTTATTATGTAACCCTCTACCTCGAGGGGATCTTGAGCATTGTACAGTGTGAAAATCATTGTAAAATTTGAAAAAATAGTTCGTTTATATCTTTTCTTTACTGCCCTGGGTAAGACGTTAAACTATATCCACATCATGGGTAAGACGATTAACTACGTCCAGCAGCAAGGCCTCTGATCAGGAGGTTTTAAGAAGCGTGGAACCACCTCTTAATTGCTGGTGTTCCCAGGTCCACCCTGACCCGGGGTAGTAGCACCTGTTATGGTCCCAGCTATGGGCAAATAGTTCACTATCACTAGAAATACTTTTTGAAAAAAATTATTACCAGCAATACAATATTCAAGGATAAATATTACCAGAAACAGATCTTTGACGAAACTATTACCAGCAATAAAAAAATATTGTCAGCATTAAATAACCCATTGAGGTTGATATGCCGTAAAAGAAAATAAATCAAACCAAACCATCTTTTCTTTAGGAAGAGTACCTCGGTCCTACACTCATATAGCCTGTAAGTGTAAAAAAAAAAAAAAAAATTTAAAAATAAAAAGATACTAAATATGAACGTGAGGGTATTTTTTTAATTTCACCTTTCCATTTTTTTAAAAAAATTTTCTTTTAATCGGTATCACCCCAAGCAAAGCAGTACAGCCACTGAGACCTGTGGAAGTATTAGGAACAGAAAGATTAATAATGAGAAGAAAGCGAAAAGAGTAATCAGGCGGACAGTAGATAGAGATTGAAATTGCATTTAAATTATTGCAGATTAAAATTGGCTGAAATGCATCAAGCTGTAAGGGAATTCCACAAGTGAAAAGTGCGAGAAAAGAAACTGTTAGCGTAGTGTCACACTATTTGTTACATGGTAATCATAAGAAAGTTTTCTTTGAATAGAAAGAACGATATACTGATATACCCATGATAAATAAGAAGGATTAATAAATAAATCCGGTGGGAAAAATTGAA